AGTAGATTGGTCCCTCTAAGCGAGATCCCAATTTCGTCGGTCCTCCGACGTGACGTCTCCGTTCCCTCCTTCAGGGAACGAGGGTTACATACGTAACCGAGACGTTTCCCTCGTTGGGCAGCAAATGTCACTTGCCTAATAACCGTTTCTTATGGGACACAAAGTGCTCTTCCTCTGGGGCTGCTTACTGGTTCAGAAAGCCGAATCCTCGTTTTAGCTGCATACAAATTTCAGGACATGGATTTTCCTTATGGGATTTTTGTAAGGGGCTGAACACACAGAACATGTTTTTGCATTTAAATGTGATGCTTTTCCATTGTTTTTTGATGTAAACATCCTCTGGCTTGAGTCTCGTGTTTTTCTGTGTGAACAGCCCCTACGAGTTTAAATCTTTTGATACTAAGAAGTGCTGAATCTGCAGTTTCTTAAAAGCAATACAGCAAAAATCTATATCCTAAAGATGACATGAATTGAAGCTGTGAGGATATTGACAGCATTTTAGCTATATATTACACACAGATGTATTGTTAAAATTCTGGTCAAGAGTTATACAGTATAGATGTACTGTAAAATAGATCCACAAACTCCAAATTCTGATTGGATGAGCCTCATTTAAAGGGTTAGTTCACCCACAAATTAATTACTCACCTGAGTGTTGTTCCAAACCCGTAAGACCTTCGTTCATCTTCGGAACACAATTTAAGATATTTTTTATCATGTTGCGCTTAACACATTTTATAAAAGCGCTAGGCCCTTGCTAAGACCATGCATTAAAGTGATTTAACAGCCGGACTCACCCTCCAGTGGGTTTTTGCTTTAATAATAGCATGTGAATTTCTTGCTGTGAGTGACTATGACCAAACAAATCTCCTCTGTGTAACCGTGGGTGTGCTGTCACTTGCAGCTGTATGTCTGGTTTTCATTCTGTCTGTGGTTTCTCCGCAGAACCTGCGTGAGGCTCAGGTATTCAGTCTCGTGGCGGAGCGCAGAAGGAAGTTCCAGGAGATCATAAACCGCAGTAACCACGAGGCCAGTCAGACGGTGCGGCCCAAGTCCTCATCCTCTCGCTGGCTGCCGCCCGGCTCGCCTCCGCAGCTGGTGACCGAGATCCTGGAGATCCGTGAGAGCATGCTGTCTCTCCTGGTCAAGCTGCACCAGAAACTGTCTGCCAAGCAGAACTCTCTGTCTCTGAGCTGGCTGGCTGAGGTGGATCCGGCCCATCACACGCACGGAGATGGGTTAACAGCCATCGAACGGATCCTGGCCAAAGCTGCCACCCGTAGCCGGCACAGCAAGAGGTGCCTCCAGGACATCTGTGGGAAAGTGTGTCCCCCCATACCGCCCAAGAAGAACAGTCCTGGAGATAAGAAGAGCATGGACAAGGAAGAGAGGTGTGTGCGCTCCCCGTTTCATTTCCACTCAAAAATATCAAATGTGACCCAGGACCACAAAATCAGTCCTAAGAGTCAATTTTTCGAAATTGAGATTTATACACCATCTGAAAGCTGAATAAATAATCTTTCCATTGATGTATGGTTTGTTAGGATAGGACAAAATTCGGCCGAGATACAACTATACAACTGAAAATCTGGAATCTGAGGGTGTAAAAAAATCTAAATACTGAGAAAATCGCCTTTAAAGTTGTCCAGATGAAGTTCTTAGCAATGCATATTACTAGTCAATAAATTGACGGTAGGAAATTTACAAAATATCTTCATGGAACATGATCTTTACTTAATATCCTAATGATTTTTGGCATAAAAGAAAAATCTATCATTTTGACCCATACAATGTATTTTTGGCTGTTGCTACAAATATACCCCAGCGACATATTTGCTCCAGGGTCACAAATATGTATATATCACTCTTACTCAAAGCATTAGAATTAATTAAACATGTTGTTTATGCATCTGATTATGGGAAAGATGTTGCCTGCAAACCAAACCAACTATAGCATGCGCGTTGTCTGGACTAGGTTACCATAGAGCAGTATTGGAGGACTTTGCTCATTTGTTTGTCCCTGACATTGTCAGCTGGAAACTCTTGAAGCGTGTCCTTCCTGTCTGTATTAGTTTATGCCCCTCTATAAAGTGTCTGTTCCTCCCATCCAAATAACAAAGGAGAGAGACTGACAATGACACAGTTCTCTCATCTAATCAAGGTTGGCAGGTATTTATAAGGCTTTGTTGTATGCTGTCAGTGGGCAGAATTTGTGGTATTAAACTGATTATTAGGGTTTCCAGATATTCACACACGTCATGAGGGACAAACAGACAGACAAACAATATGAGCAGGCTTTTCTTCACTGAACAAATGGGTTTCTGTAGGGGTGAACATTTTATTTAATCTGATTTTCCGGGTCTGGAGTCATCAAACACGGCATCGGAAGCTTCATCTGACGTTTTTCATTGTTTCCAGATTTTGCTGCGGTTCGTGTATGTTGTAAAAAAAAAAAAAAAAAGCCTAATCCTTTGTCACAAATAAAGGGATTTTTTTTACATTTTTGATTATAAGAATATGTGAGGCTAGAAGAAAAATACTGAAAATACAAGCAATTTAGAGGCTTTCTGCCAAAATGCAGCTTCGTCACGGTACAACTCGTTACGTGAATGTGACCCTGGAGCACAAAAGCAGTGTTAAGTCGCTGGGGTATATTTGTAGCAATAGCCAACAATACATTGTATGGGTCAAAATTATTCTTACCCTTTGTTCTTAATTAAACAGCTTATGGAAGTATGTTTTTGACCACCAGCTTTATAATACGTATTTGTTTATTTATTAGGGCTGTCAGATGATTACAGTTTTCAGTCTAATTAATTACATGATGTGCTGACCTTAATCCAATTAATTGATGATTAATCACATATCAATTTGGGCTGAAAACCCCCCAAAAGTCATATGCTAAATCTGTTTTGAATAGTCATAACAAAAAGTAGCTTTAGAAAGAAATGTTTTGATTCAACATAGACTTTTTATGGCTGTAACATTGTTTTCAGAAGCTGTATCTGAAGTTACATTTAGGTATATTTACAAAGACTGTTCAGAGGTGGCATATATGCATTTACACAGCAAGTTAAAATTGCATAAATAATGCTATGAGATTAATGGATTGGGTTTGTTTATGAACTCTTTATAAAATCAATATCACATTTGCTATCTTGAGATAACAAGAAATGGAAAGTTCTATATACCAACCAGAATTTCAATTGGTCCATCCCTAACTAATGAGCATTTTCATTGGACTTGATGATTGACTGAGAGTGAATATATGCTCATTTTCAAAATCCATCCAAATCTATCCTTCAAACAGTCACCGAATGTAGTCAGGTTATCATCACATGTCAACATTTTAAAACCATTTGATTCTAACCCATCATTCATAGGCTTTGAAAATGGACATTTCATAATTAACAGCTAATAATGATGCAAATAATTTCTGTTTTGACATCTGCAGGCGTCAAAGGGCCAGAGAGAGACAGCAGAAGCTGCTGGCGGATTTTCATTGTTTCCAGATTTTGCTGCGGTTCGTGTATGTTGTAAAAAAAAATAACAAAAAAAGCCTAATCCTTTGTCACAAATAAAGGGATTTTTTTTACATTTTTGATTATAAGAATATGTGAGGCTAGAAGAAAAATACTGAAAATACAAGCAATTTAGCGACTTTCTGCCAAAATGCAGCTTCGTCACGGTACAACTCGTTACGTGAATGTGACCCTGGAGCACAAAAGCAGTGTTAAGTCGCTGGGGTATATTTGTAGCAATAGCCAACAATACATTGTATGGGTCAAAATTATTCTTACCCTTTGTTCTTAATTAAACAGCTTATGGAAGTATGTTTTTGACCACCAGCTTTATAATACGTATTTGTTTATTTATTAGGGCTGTCAGATGATTACAGTTTTCAGTCTAATTAATTACATGATGTGCTGACCTTAATCCAATTAATTGATGATTAATCACATATCAATTTGGGCTGAAAACCCCCCAAAAGTCATATGCTAAATCTGTTTTGAATAGTCATAACAAAAAGTAGCTTTAGAAAGAAATGTTTTGATTCAACATAGACTTTTTATGGCTGTAACATTGTTTTCAGAAGCTGTATCTGAAGTTACATTTAGGTATATTTACAAAGACTGTTCAGAGGTGGCATATATGCATTTACACAGCAAGTTAAAATTGCATAAATAATGCTATGAGATTAATGGATTGGGTTTGTTTATGAACTCTTTATAAAATCAATATCACATTTGCTATCTTGAGATAACAAGAAATGGAAAGTTCTATATACCAACCAGAATTTCAATTGGTCCATCCCTAACTAATGAGCATTTTCATTGGACTTGATGATTGACTGAGAGTGAATATATGCTCATTTTCAAAATCCATCCAAATCTATCCTTCAAACAGTCACCGAATGTAGTCAGGTTATCATCACATGTCAACATTTTAAAACCATTTGATTCTAACCCATCATTCATAGGCTTTGAAAATGGACATTTCATAATTAACAGCTAATAATGATGCAAATAATTTCTGTTTTGACATCTGCAGGCGTCAAAGGGCCAGAGAGAGACAGCAGAAGCTGCTGGCGGAGTTTGCCTCGAGGCAGAAGAGCTTCATGGAGACTGCCATGGATGTTGGTGAGCTTGAACATGAGCTGAAGTTGTTTGCTGACCTTTATTAAACACGTCTGATTTAAATGAGATTTGTTCTTGCATTGAAAAATAGCCAAGGAATATAATTGACTGCAGAAATCTTGAGAAACATTTTTTAATAGGTGGAATTTAGAATTTCTGTTAAGTTTCGTTTAGTCTGTTTAAATATATCAAGATTGTAAAATTAAAGCGGTTAATTAAAATAGTTCATACAGAAAGCGCTGCATATGAATGTATTATGGTATTGGTTTAATTTTTCAAGAACATTAAGGAATATTATTGTAGCTTCATGTATGGGCAGTCAGTGAAAAAGCAAATCTCTATTTAGACGAATTTGTGTAAAATTCTGGTTTTAATTATATGCTCTTTAGTGTAGTATTCTTAACTATTAAGTCAATTAGATTTTACAGTCCATTGATACACAATTTGCACGTAGTTTAGAGGACGTGGTAAACTTGCAGAAGTCCTTGAAGGCTGAGGCTGTGGGCTGTAATCTTACTCTCTTGAAGGAAGGTGACTCAAATTGCCTCAGTTCTGCCCTTCACACTCCCTCAGGCCTTTTTAGCACAGCCTTGTGTGTGATTCTCAGGGGCCGTACTATTGTGCTTCAGGGCAGTTCTGCTGTGTGCTGGTCCCCGAGATCAAAAGAGAATGCAGTGACACGGTGTTTAAGACATGAGTGATGAAGGTTTAATATAGCCTTACTATAATATCTCGGTACAGTCAACATCATATCCTACACACGACACCCCATGTACTGTATACGGGATGATTTACAAGAATCTCTTTCTAGATTGTAGCTACTAGGGTTATTTGAGATTGTCAAAATTTGCCAGAACTTTAGTACCGATAGTAATATTATATTAAGCAAATGTAACAATACCAGTGTCAGTAGTACTACCTAGGGTTGTGACGGTGAGTAAATTTTCCCACTCGTTAATCGGTGTGTGTGACAACACCAATAATATCGGCATCACTGTGGGATGTGGGATTTTCCCGCTTTTCCTTACCTTTCCTCGCTTTTAAATGGCTTAAAAGCACCATGCGCATTTTTGCTTGAATGCAATTCAAGCAACAACAAAATACAAAGTCAAACTCACTTAACCTATATATAAATCATAGAACTTTTAACAAAACGAATAAAAATACACCATGCTATAGGCTATGCCTAATATAAAATAACAAATAACTTACACAAAGTTTAAATAGGTATACAAAACTGAAAATAAGTAAACACTGTGGAACCAAATAAATAAGAAACGTAGAACGCTTATTAGTAAAACTAACATGAAAGCTTGGAGGCACGGCATACACCTTGATGTCAAATAAAATAAATGCATTACACAAAGTTTAAATAAACTAACAATCAGCAAACACTTGTGGAACCAATAAAATAAGAAACGAATGTTTAAAAAATCTTCCAAAATCACCTTAGATAAACAGCAAAAGTCAACTGGCTTTTCAAAATCCAAAATACTGCCAAACAGGTGCTTTTGCGTTTGGTTTCGAAACTAAATCATCCGCTATCATCGTGTCTGTCTCACCTCACTCTTCTTGTCAGTCTGCTCGACTGGCTCTCCTCTTGTGATAAATGAAATCTGATCTGTGATGTGACTGTCGTTTGGCACGCTGCATTGAGCAGCTGCGTTCAGTTTTTAATTGTAGTGTCTGTTCTCTAACTAAACTAAATTATTTTTATTACTATAAATAATCTAAATGACGGTGGGGGATGATGCCGTGGTGGGCAAGTGACATAAAACTTCACACTGGTATCACCGTCAACACCGACAATTGCAGCAAGCCTAGTACTACCAAGCATCTCTCTACCAAAGAGACTTGTGTGTTAAAGATAATTATTGAACGCTGCAGTTATTTGTGAATTTCATGTTTCGAGCAGCTTAGAGCAGTAGTGAAGTTTTAATTTGTCCGAAACTGGAAAAAAAAAAGTTTATTTAACAATCAATTAATCACATTTATTTAATAATCAATTAATCACATTTATTTAATAATCAACACTCAAGAAACGTTTAAACGAAGAGTTTAAATTTCACAAATTTAAATTGCACAAGGCAGTTTTAATATCAACTTCTTAATGATATAATTGTTTCTACTCAAATTAGTTGTTTTCATGACAAATTTATTCAAACATAACATGTAACATTTTATTGGTGTCTTTCCACAGTTGAAGCACTGATTGAGTGATTACATAAAACAATACACTTCAGAAAGTTTTACTGTATCTTTCTACATGGCTACTTTCTAATGTTCATTTATGCTTGTTTCACTCTATGACTAGTAGTAAAGAGGAAGACATGATCAGTTCTTGTGTGCTCTGCACTGTCACTTGAACTGAGCGATCTGTTATGGCACATTAAAGCATGTTAAAACTACATTAAGCTTATTGCTTAAAGCTTTAAATCGATATCGGTTCATCTAATGAAGATGAATTAAAAACAAGAAATCAATATTGTTAGCCCAGCATAGCATCCACACAGTTGATATTTAGCTGTTATAGTTTATCCATGTTGTGTGCACAAAATAGACACTGACACAGTCATTGCACCATTGAAGAAACACTAATGAAATATTACCGTTTCAGTCAATGATTTTGGCCCTCCAAAACCAAAAGTTCACTTTCTGCCGAATATTTTTGGTTGCTGAAATTTCTGTGTCACACGTCCTTTTGAATAAGGATGATATCTGATCTGTTTAGAGAAACAGGATTTGTCTTGTTCACCAGAAGTCAACAGCAAATGCTAAAGTGACGTTGAGATTTGGCTGAAATATTAGCTTCAGACGCCCATGGCTGATGTCCTCGCTGACATTGAGCGGTGTCTGTATTATAAATGTGCACATGCTTGCGATTGCCAGAATAAAACATTCTCTTGAGCTCTGATGTACAGGCTCCATTTGTTTTCCAGATTTGAATCAAAGGTCACTTTGGACAGGAATATTTGCACTGGAATTCTAATGAGATAAATTGGGCCAGCATTTCGAGCATCTGTGCATATGGTAATGAATCTCAGAGCAGTACTGGATGCCTTCACTTAACAGTGAAAGGACAGTGAACACTGAAAACCGCAAAAGGTGCTTACTGAGGGTATGAGGTTTAGTCTGCCTGATCAAAAGTCAAATCATCTCAATACAGTTCTAATTAAAGAGAACTTGAGAGCCAAAATATAGTCTCACATAATCACCCCCCCCCCCCCCCCCCC